AAAGAAAGCCTTGGAAAAAAAAAAAAAAAAAAAAAAAAAAAGTTTGCTATGGATGGGATAGCAGCTAAAAGTGATTGCTGACTTCAAAGCAACCACAAAATAAAATAGTAAAAAGAAAGGCAGCAAAGGGCTTGATGTCCCAAAGAGCTGGCAATTAGAATTAAAGTAAACTGACCCTAATCTCTCCATGCAGTTTGCCAGCCTTTCCTACGCTTTTCTGGTAACAGCTTTCAATTGCATGACACTATCAATCTCAAACCCATGCTAATGGCAAACCCGAACCTCATCCTAATTAGTTTGATCAACCAAGATATACTTACGTTGACTTTAAGAGTTGTTTTGTGAGATTCTGGAATACTACATCAGAAAAGGTAATAAGCTCCTTTGTTCCTGTGGGATTTTTATAATTATTAGAAACAGAACAAAGAAACAAAAAGTCAACAATTTAGTAGCAGATATATTGTGAGCATAGAATATATAAATCAGTTCATTTTTTTTTTATACATGTCAAAAGTCCAGACTCTCCCAAGCCATCTGAAGACTTATCGTAGAGTTAGAAACCACACTTTGCAGAGGCACCCTGGTGCAGCAGAAGGCAGGAGAAGTGAACAATCTAGGACAACATAGCTAATTTGAAAAAATTCTCCAATTCAGCTCACTTTCCAGTTCAGCTATTTGTCTTAGATTGTTCACTTCTCCTGTCTTCTCCAAACTCTTCAGCCTTTTGTGAATAACCCTGTAATTGTTACAAACTGTTTATAATTAACTGTGTTGTGCTGACTAGTGAGACTGAGTACTGAGAATTCTTGTATTAAATTGTGTACAGCCTTGCCCTACCCTGGAGCACCTTTGCTAGTCATACATTTATATACAGTATATATATATTATATATATATATGCATGGCAATGCTATGGTGTAGTTTGACAACTTTGGCACCCAGGACTCTCAGCCAGAGGGACCGATTGGGTCCAGAATAGGGTTACCACCTGTCCGAGATTCACCTGGACAGCCTGGGTTTTGCTTCTCGAGTATGGGCTTCAGGCTACCCAGGGGCGTCCTGAGGCTGGGTGACAACCGGAGCGGTAACCGAGTGTCACCCCACCGAGACGCCATTGCGCACACACAGCAGTATTCTGATACCTGCCGGCGGCCATCTTGGTGAGAGAGGAGGGGACAGTCACCCGACGGGATAAGGTATGCCGCCGGATCCCCTCCTCTCTCCTGATACTGTTGGGCGTTCGGTCCATGACCGAGCGCCCGACTTTTCAGAGGGGGGTGACACTAAAATGACTGAGTCCTTTTGATGTCACCCCTCCTATGGTGTCACCCAGGTGTGGGCCGCACCCCTCTTATGACGCCACTGAGGCTACCTACAACCCAGACAGATAGCAAAAGGAAGGAGCGGATTTGGAAGAGAGTTCATATTCTGTGTGGCGGGCTGAGGAGGAGAAGTACAGAAGATGCTGGAGACTAAGGGCTAGTTTACACCAGCCTCAGTGCGTTCCGGCCAGATTCTGGCCGGAACACACTGGATCGCATTCTGCCCGGCTCACTTTGTTTTGGGGCGGGAGGGAGCATGGCAGTGAATTGAACTCAATGGTAATGCAGGTACGCCCACCGGTGCATGCAGCATTTTTTCTGACTGCACTGGAACGCAGGCATTGATGTGTCACGCGTTCCCGTGCGGCCTATCGCACTGCGGCCGGAGTTCAATGGACCACAACGCCCCCTTCCGCCCCAAAACAAAGTGAGGTGGCCGGAATGCGATCCAGTGCATTCCGGCCAGAATCAGGACGGAGCGCACTGAGGCTGGTGTGAATTAGCCCTAAAAGGCGCAGTGTGGCTGTGGACTTGAGCTAAAGCTGGAACTCGGGGAGAGAGAGTTCTGCACTGTTACTGCAAGCACTGTTACTGGTGCAGTGCTACTGGGAGCACTGCACTGTTACTGGTGCAGTGCTACTGGGAGCACCGTTAGCACTGTCATTATTAGCACTGGCACGACAAGCACTGTTAGCACTCTTTCTCATATTTGTCACAGAGACGTTGACCAGACAACCTATTTACTTTTGCCACACACTAACTGGATGGACATCTATGGGAAGTCCGCTGGACGCTAGATGAGTTAGTTGCCAGTGTGACCATTTTGTTGGTTGGCTTTGTTTTTTAGAGTGTAAGCTTCTCTGGTGCAGAGTGATGTGACTGGCTCAGTGTTCTCTGTACAGAACTGTGATATATGTCAGAGCTATATAAATGTATAATAATAGTGTGTGACTGTGGGGGGACATTAGAGTGTAAGCTCCTCTGTACAGAGACTGATGTGACTGGCTCAATGTTCTCTGAACAGCACTGTGGTATATGTCTCCAAAAAAATGATTGCCACATGGTGCTAGAATGTTCGGGTTTGGCTTGAAGAAAAGGTGGCAACCCTCGTCCAGAATGTAAACAGTTTTATTTATGAAGAAGCTGGCTTTTCAGATTCTTCCAGGTTTTCCAAATTGTAGCTGGGATCTGGAGCTCTGGAGATTTCTTTGAGCTCTGGGTGGAATGACATCTCTAGTCCTGGTGCCAGGTGTTGACAACAACCAGTCTGCGCTGATCAGGTGGCTAAGAACAGCCTCATTAAGAAGCCAGCTCAGAGGGAGAGGTGGTGTGGTGTGTTCTGGAGGCACATGAGGGCCAAGCCAGGTGGCGTGGGGAAGCCGCACAAGGAACAGCCAGGGAGGCTGGAGGATTTGACAGGCTGAGAGAGCCAGGCCCACAAGGTGTGTGGAAAGCTGCTGGAAGAGGCTAAAGGGTATGAAGGCGTTTTGTTGTGGCAAACGTTAAAGTCCTGGAACTGGGACACTGTGAGTGAATGGGAAAGCCTTGAGTCGGTGAGACAATATACCAGACACCTTGCCCCATGTGGAGTGACTCCTTAAATTTAGTTCTGCTGGATTGTATCCAGTCTAGTTGATTTGATAGCCTGTTTGGTTTTCCTTAAGTATCTGCCTGCTGCTGGGTGTAACCTTGCGCAGAGCAGAGCATCCAATAATGTGGTGTTATCAATATCTGCATCTCCCTAGCCAATCACTAGGTGGTTCATGGCCAGTGGTGCATGCTGAGGGAGGGCATAAATATTTGAGGCTGACCATGTGAAAGTCTTTTTCCCTCCCGAGCCTCCTGCCTGGGGGAGGGTGTGTGAAGTGTGTGCTGTTTGACCAGGCCTGTTGTCTAGAGCAGTGTTTTTCAACCTTTTTTGTGCAAAGGCACACTTTTTTCATGAAAAAAATCACGAGGCACACATGCGGCACAGTGGTTGAAAAACGCTGGTCTAGAGGTTGTCAGGTATGGGCACAGTCAGTGTCTGAATCTGTTCCTGGGATAGAGAACCAGGGAGGAACTTTGTTTGCTGGAGAAGCCAAGATGGGCATGGACCTCACAGGAAGTCTGGTGTCTTGCCTAGGGAATTCTATGCTATGTCTGCTAACGAGCTAAGGTTCTACACTACACAGTGTTACTGTAATCAGTTTAAAGGCCCTCTGCACTGTGAAGCTGGGAAATGGTTGGTGAGTCTGGAGTTCTGTAATGTCCTATATGTCTGTAGACTTTTACCCTGTCTCCCATTTTTGTTACTTATGGAATAAAATATTAGAATATCCTTAAAGTGACTGGCGCCCAACTTAACTTTACGGTAGTATAAGAGATAAGTGTTATATAACTAAAGGCACTGGTTCCTGACTGATAGGCAACTAATAATATACAATACATTAGTGAGTGGATAAGCTCTGAGAATGGCTACATGGAGGTGAATTCACTAATAAAGGTGAGAATCTTCATATAATAAATTGTGTAATAGCAGAACTCCAGGATTTCCCTCCCCTCCTGCCACCTGACTCCCCCACCCCCTGAATCCTGGAGTTACACCTTAATTTTCAATTATCCAGCCATGTAAAAAGCATATTCCTTTTTATTTGTTTCATCTGCACATGACGTTAAAAGTGAATAGGAGTTTGCTTTTCACAGGGCTGGATTATTGACGTGAATATTTACACACGTTACTGTTTTAAAGCATAAATTCCAATTTTAGGTATTACTGTGATAAATTGTATTCTGATCCAGAACTTGATATACATCCATGATATACAGCAGGGACGTGCGGTCAGGAGAGGCAGAGCCTCACCTCATATTATGGAGATAAAAGCTGTCAGCTGCAAGTCTGAAGCCGATAGCCTTTTCTCCATTCAGATTGGCTTGTAACAGGTTACACAGCAGGGAAAGCCTCCCCACTGTGTAACCTGTCATGGACGGAGTGCTGCCTGTTAATACAGGCAGTGCTGCATCTGGCTTTTGATAGGTAAGTTATGTTACACAGCAGCGGGCTCCCCTACTGCTTGTGTAACCTAACATAGTAGGGTGAGAGCTGCAACAGCCTCTGCTCTGTGTTAGAGGCTTGAGCTCTGTGGATGGTTTGAACCAATAGCAAAGCGCCATTTGACACTAACCAGAAGAAGGCATTGAAACTTTAATGTGAGGGCACCATGGAAGAAACGGAAGCAAGCGCTATAAACATATGTAGAGTGTTTAGTAAGCCCACAAATGCACAAAGAATAATATTAGTAAATATAGCTACAACAAGATTGATCTGTACCTGAAGCGTCCTCCTTTTGTTCAGTAGTAGATTCAGAAGTATCCAAGTCATCAGAATCTTCAGAATTTTCAGAAATGATGTCTTCCTCAGAAAGGTCAGCACCCTCCGAAAGGGTTTCACTGTCAGATGACAACATATCATCCTCTGGCTCAGATCCTCCAGAAGCCATGATTTCTTTTTTACTAATCGTAACCTTTAATATTAAAAGATGTAATACATAAGACATGATGTAAAATAATTACCGTATTTTGCGGTCCATAAGACGCACCGGACCATAGGACGCAGGGAGGTCCGGCACGCCTTATGGAGCACTCGACAGACTGTAGCTTCTGTCACAGCTTCTATGACAGAATCTGTGACAGAAGCTGCAGTTAGTGACCGCTGAGACAGGTGGCGCTGTGATTACAGCGCCACGGTCTCAGTGATCACACAGAGCAGACGAAGAACGTCCGTTCTTTGTCTGCTCTATGGTGATCTCGATCGTCGCCGCTGCTCCGCTTTAATACGAGTGATCTCGTTAGATCACTCGAATTAAACGAGCCGTGGCGGTACTTCTATTAAAAGCAGAAATCAAAGCACCAGAAGACAGACCTAGAGTGTATGTTGAACTTGCTCCTGTTTTGATCTGTTGCCTCAATGTGATTTAAAAGCTCATTTTTTATTCTGGCTAAAGTTCCACTCCTGGCAGAAGCCTGATTTGCGACCCTTCCTATGGGGTAGGCATAACCAGCAATGCAGCCACTGCCCATCTCTTGTGCCCATTTGATATGTCTTTCCTCCTATTAGCCATGGCAGTATGAGCAGTGTATGGCAGTATGAGCAGTGTATTGCAGTATGAGCAGCCAGTGCCTCTGCCTGTAAAGGGCAGAGTTAGTGCAGCCAAGAATTCTCAGGAAGTTCTCCATTAGGTCCACAAGCAGTAAGAGTTGGCGGAGCCTGTTGAAGAAAGAATTTAGGCTCTGATGTTTTTTTCTCCGGTGTCAGAAACAATGTCACTCGTCTCCAGCCTGCACTTGATGTTAGAGACAAGCACTCAGCCATCATTATGTATTCCTCTCCTTGCTAGCATCGTGGTAAAACAGCAGTGGGGAGAGGGGGGCAAACTGTCTGATCACGCTGCTCAGCAACTTCAACACAGATCAAAAAAAGGACCAAACAAACATCAAATATTTGTACAATGTAGTGATACTTCTACACCATTTTAAGCAAAAATGTATTACTCCACAGCTCACAAATATTCATTTTTGTGAACATTATCATGAAAATAAATAACAAATGCCAATAAAATAACTTTTTCACGTTAGTTTAGTGAGTGTTATGTTACCCATATGCCTCAATGTTCTACTGTATTACCTGGATGAAGGTTGATAAATATCATTACAGGATACCTGTCAAGAAAGTGTCATAGGAGTTGCTGTTGCTGGCTGTTCCTTCTGAAAATACTAGTTGTCTGGCTGTCATGCTGATGTATTGGTTTTGATAATTCCTAAATCACTGACCTGTAACAAGTACATAGGTAAGGAATTCATTTACATCATGTTTGTTCCAGGTCCATGCCTCAAAAAGTATTGACACCAGACACAGTCAGGAAACTAGCATTTTTTTAGACGGAGACCAGCAGTGGCAGCTCCTATAGTTCTCTCATGACAGGGTCACTTTAAATACTGTCAAATAACAGAATGAGGGGAGACTACATTGCTGGTCACACAATGCATTCAGTAGAACCATTAGAAGGAAACAGTAAGAGGGTTATGCACACAGCTGCCAAAGGCAGCTGTGTGAATAACCGACCGAAGTAAAGTAAGCCAAACGCTGTTTGACTATTCACTTCAGGCTTGTACAGCTGATTTCAGCCATCCATCGGCTTGCTTCGGCTGGCTTCGGGTCGGCCGAACATGCCCGAAGTGCAGAAGGAGTTCGACTCAGCCGATCCAACATCTGGATCGGCTGAGCCGAACCTCCTGTAGGCTACTCACTGCTGTTCAGCCTATTCTCATAGGGGCCGGACAGCAGTGAGTAAATAGCCGAATGTGGTCCGAGCAGAATAGAAAAACAGTAAAAAAAAAAAAAGATTAGGCGGAGCTAGCAGTGACAGCTAGCTCCGTCCAACTGTTTTCTATTGGCCAGGGCCAGCTGTCATTACAATGAGAGCTCGGTGGAGTCGGCAGTGATATCAAAGCTGGCTCCGCTAAGCTCTCATTGTAATGACCAGTGATGTGCGATACCTCTTGCTGGGGTGAGGAATTCCCCACCCCCTGGTAACCAGGGGACGCTGATGTCATTACACACTGAGAATCTGATATCACATCACAGCATTAGCTCCCTGTTATCTGCTGATTCCCCGCTATGTTTTTTTCTACTGACAGCTGCCGCCAGAGTAAAGAAATAAAAAAACAACAAATACCATAGGAATGAATAGCTAGGATACTATTGGCCATTTCAAATTGGAATAGCCAATAGTAGGCTGGCTATTGCACCCACCTACTGCTGCTGTCAATCAGCAGAGGTGAACCTGAAGTTCTCTATCTGGTCCACCTCTGCTGATTGACAGCAGCAGTAGGCGGGTGCAATAGCCAGCCTACTATTGGCTATTCCAATTTGAAATGTCCAATAGCAGCCTGGCTATTCATTCCAGCTGTCGAAGTAATAGAAAACAAAACATAACAGGGGAATCAGCAGATAACAGGGAGCTAATGCTTCTCCTGTTATCTGATGCTTTTTTTCCTGTTGTATTCAGACAGCAGCCGCAAAAAAAACCAAAAAAAAAAAAACAGGGAATTGGCCGATATAAAGGGGGGAGACAGGCTAGGATGGGTCAGGGCATTTTTTTTATTTTTAAATGGCTGTCCCTCCTAACATTTATAACGTTTGGGAGGAGGACCCCACACTGTGTTTATTTGTTTACATGTCTGCTTCGGCAGACTGTTCTCCCCGCTTCGGCTGTGTGTTAAACTCAGTCGAGCCGAAGCACATGCCTTCGGCTCGACTAAGGCCCCTCGGCCAACTTAGGGGGCTGTGCAGGCTATTGTGAATAGCCCGTACTGCACCCCTTCAGTTCTACTGAACCGAAGGGGTCTTGGGGCCGAAGCCAGCCGAAGGATCGGCCGAAGCTACAGCTAGATCCTTCAGCAGCTTCGTGAATAACCCTCTAAGTGATATTTGTTGTATTCCACGTGCTTTATACCCAGTTCGATGATATTTCAGCATATTTTTATAATTTATTTATAAATGAATGACTGAATGAACATGCTATGTACTTTGTACTGAATTTGGAACTCTATGTACACTGTGGAATGAATTGTTTACATTTTTTTATGGTTTTATTCATATCTATTCTAAATGTATCATTCTGAGAAGTATATGAGCAGATGTTTTATGCACTTTATGATCAGGTGTAGGAAGACGAGAGCTACACATACAGTGGGGGGAATTTATCAAAACTGGAGCAAAATAAACTGGACCAGTTGCCTGTGGCAACCAATCAGGTTCTCTCTTCAGTCTGTTCAGTTAAGATTTGAAAATGAAAGAGAGAAACTGATTGGTTGCCATGCACAGCTGCTCCAGATTTTGTCTGCTCCAGTTTTGATAAATTCCCCTCAGTATGTATGATTAACTTCACTTGTAATATTGTTCCTGAAGAGAAAGTGTAGCTGCTGTGTATTTAGGAATTAGTAGCATGGGGGGGAGTTATAAGCTTGCAAAATATGAATTGTTTATTATTGTCGCAATTAATATTTTCAACCAAAAGCATCAGTGTAGTAGTTGTTTGGAAAATATTTAAAGCAAGCTTTTCCTGGGAAGCTTCTATGTACAAAACCAAAAGTGACATAAACCAAAGAGGCTATGGGTATATAACGGGGGAAGGAGGGGGGATTAATAAAAAGAGTTCTGTCTCAACTGATGCAGTTTTTTCCTGGAACACAATGCATGTTGTCTGGGAGGTGCGTTGGGGTGCCATTCAAATGAATGGCAATGTAATGGACCTAGCGCATGATATTGCATGCTAGGGGCACTATGCAATAGTATGCATTAATTGCACGGTATTGTGCAATTAAAGCAATGCTATGGTCTGAATAGACTCTCAAATTTTCAGCTTTTAGGGCCTATTTACACCATAGCATTGCTTTAATCGCTCAATACCGTAAGATTAAAACACGCTATTGCACATTACACCTAGCATGCGTTATGTCCACTATGCTCTTATAGCAACGCTATGATGTGAATGGGGCCTAAAAGTGGATTAGCTGCACCCAAGTTGAGAAAAACATAAGGCAAAATTTGTCTGACATTTTATTAATTTCCCCTTGTAGCATTGCCAGCTCTACACAGCACACTGCATAGATCATATTCTAGTATACAGTAATATGTCTATCTTATAATACATCCCAATTCTTAATATTTAAAGGAGAACTCCACAAGAGATTAAGAAAGCACATTGTGAGGTAAGAACAACACCGTAGTTTACACTTACTGTTAAAAGAGAACTATGGGGTACACATTTTTTTTTTATTTTTAGCTTCCTAATGATACAGGAATACATTTTGCAATGTACTCCTGTAAACAAGAATGCACCAAAAGCTTACAATTCAAAGTAATATACTGTGGGTGGGGCTACACTCTGTTATGAGAAGCCATCCCGACAATATTGTATATCCTCCTCTCCCATTGAGTGACAACAGCTTATAGGAGCTGTTGCGTGTTCATGAGAAGTTTATGTGTCATGTCACAGGTCTACAAACACTAGCACATCCATCCCGCAGTTTTTCTTTCATTCCCCCTCCCCTTTCTCTTCCACACTGCTGTTTCCAGACCATACACATACCACATCAGCACTAAGACTGTCAGTTCAGCTCTATCCTTGCCGCATTCTCCTCCACTCTGTTGTCTTGGGACATACACAGGGAGAAGAAGAGCTAAGTGGAGGGGGGCAGGGACGGAGCTGGACTGACAGTTTTAGTGCCGATGTGGTATGTGTATTGTCTGCAGACAGCAGTGTGGAGAGGAGAGGGGGGAACGAAAGACAAACTGCGGGATGGAATGTGCAAGTGTTCGTAGACCTGTGACCCGACATAAATAAACTTTGATAGGATGTGCCCTGAGCTGCTGCGAATGCACAGGTTCTCATGAAGCGCAGCAGTTCCTACACGCTGCTGTCACTCAATGGGAGAG